GGTGATTTTTTAAAAATGCCATGGTCTTAATCAGAATGTGGTTCCACATTGTCGTAAGTGCCTGAACCATGAAATAGACAATCATTACTACTGCCTTGATCTAATTTGCGAAAAATCTACTGTTCAGAAGTTCTGGCAAGAACATGGAATCCTTTTTATGTCGTGTGTCAAATTAATCATCATATTTTAATAGACCGAAGTGAGCATCGAAGTGATCATTAGTTTATAATGCAGTAATTATCATATATATATTTTTTATTTACAAGTCTTTAATCAAAATTTCATCACCATAATTATATTTTACATAGATAAAATGTCTAAGTTAATAAAGAAAGTGTACGAGGACATAAATGAATAATATAATAATCGGCGCAATTGTAATAAAAACAGTGATATTATCCTCCTTTCCCGGATGAAAAATCTATGTTTACAATTTCCCCGTGCAGTTTCCGTTTGCGTATGTTCATTAAATGCATTTTGAAAATATTCCAAGGCGTCGTAGGAATCCTCCTGAGCACCATCTTCCAGTTTCTTTATGTATGTCTAATACGAATTCGACGATTTCTGAGCACATCTATGTCCATTATTTTTCGTTTTGATTCACTTGATAATTTATATACATGGAGATTCTTGTACTATGTAATTAGTTCATCCAGCCTTATATATTTTTCATATATTACTTTGGCTTCATGCAGATTATATAGGACCAAATAGGGACATTTCTCATCGTATAATTTCAGAAGTTAACTGTAAAGTTATGTGGTTGCATAAAGAGGAAATGAACTATTGAGTACTTGGTTATATAAGAAGTAGTTTTATTATTTTCAAGCTGTTGGTATATCAGGAGTGTAGAATTTGTTTTCACATAACTTAAATACTTCTTAACTTTTGAGGACACCTTCCTAAAACCTCATTGCCAACCATACTCTATATCAAAATCCAATTGGAAAGATATGCCGTGTTCACATATTTCATTTATGGCATTTTCTTCTGTACTATTATTATTATATGTGTCTGAATTTTTGGAAAATTAACTTAGAGAATACTAATGTGGAAAAAGAAAGATAGTGGAAAAAAAAGGAAACCATACGAGTATTTAGTATATTCAACAAATATTCCTATGCCTTATGAAAAATAAGAAGTATTTTAATATTTTTCATCATAAATAAGAGGCTACAATGGAACATTCCACTGTGCAAGTCAACTAAACTTTTATATTATAGAATTAACAGAAATAATTAAATTTATTTCACATAGCTGAATATTCATTATATAGGGATAGAAAAGAAATAGTCTATATTTCTGTAGGTTATTTGAATAAACCGTCTAATTCGGTCCGAATGAATCGGTCTTTTTCAATTTAATTGTATTATTGAAAAACATAACTGTTACTTCAATTTATCATAAAAGAGGAATACATGCATCTTCAGGTACGAGCTAAATAAACATATGAAAATAGTGTTTTAATTCAATA